CTTTAAAACAAATCTATAAACACGATACTAGCTAAGGATATTGAAAGATCATCTGTATATACTTTTATCAGATCTTTGTTAGCCTTAGTGCTTCTACTGATTTATATCCAAAAGTTCTTTGATGTCAACAGCAAACAAACAGTAGCATGAAAATCTATAATGCAGCACTGCTGTTTGCTTCATTTTGACAGTTGAAAATATAAATTGAAGAGTGTGCGTATTGCCCAAGCAAAGATAAATAGGCCCAAAGTAATTTCTTTTTAGGAACAAACAAACATGCACAACAATTGAGTGCATATTACAAAAAAAATGTTTTATAAGTACATACAATGACCGTGGAAGTTGTTTTGTCCAAGATATGCACAGGCTACTTAATTCTAGTTATACAGATATACAGTAGTTGCCTGTTTATAGGGACTTATATACATTGCTCCTTGCATTCTTAGATATGGGGTCTATATATAAAAATGCAAATCACACCTACAGATCTTCAGATAACAACATCAGTATGGCCATCTAATTTCATTTCAGACAGCTTTTATTTTGAAAAACAATTACATATATAAATTGGTAGCACAAAGGATAAGCGGTTAGCACTTCTGCCTGAGAGTACTAGGATTATTGGTTTGAATCACAACCATGGCGCTAACTACCTGGAGTTTGCATGTTTTCCCTGTGCCTGTGTGGGTTTCCTCTAGGCATTCCAGTTTCCTCCCACGCTCCAAGGACATCCAAGTTGTCTCTTGTCTAAATTAATGTATGAATGGGAGCTAGGGACCTTGGACTGTAAGCTCCTTGAGGGCAGGGACTGTTGTGAATGCACAATACATATATAAATACAGGTGATAAATACAATCTATAGACATGACAAAAGGATCTAAAATGTTGTTGGTAGGATACCTTCATCTGTTCTGTTGTTTTTGCAATTAGAAGCCAACTGAAGGTTGTTTACATACCAATAAATCTTTTGTTTGTGACCACCATCAAAGAATATGTTAAATTTAAGGTGCAATTATTTAGAGAGCTGCTATTTCTATCTAAGAAACATTGCTCTATTGCTGAGTCCTGCTAAAGCACATTCCAGGGTCCTTAGGACACCCTTACCATACCATATGATCAGTGCTTCCACTCTGCTAGACCCCCCATTCCCAAATGACAATGGGGGTTATTTACTAAAATAGGAGAGTGCAAATTCTGGTGCAGCTTTGCGTAGAAACCAATCAGCTTCCACTTTTTTTTAGTCAAAGCCTAATTGAACAAGCTAAAATTGGCTACCACACACAGCTGCACCAGATTCTGAGCGCACCAGTTATAGTAAATTTGCCCAAATATTTGGGATTGGTTATTGAGGGTATAGAAGTGTGATGAACTGTGCATGTCTGCCCAAATCTATGAATACAGACATTTTCTCCTGGGGATTCAATCAGATCCATGGGGTGAAATATACATTTGTTAATGATCAATATAATGTAAAATAAGCAAAGGGAAGTATAAAGAGAATGGATATACATAAGCAAATATGTGGCCCTTATGTTTTCAGGTAAGTGAGGTTCAGGACAAATTATATTAATTTGTTAATGATCAATATAATGTAAAATAAGCAAAGGGAAGTATAAAAAGAATGGAAATACATAAGCAAATATGTGGCCCTTATGTTTTCAGGTAAGTGAGGTTCAGGACAAAATAGCCTTAGGCTTGACTATTAGGAAGCTCAAACAGGAACATCAGGTGCTGAATATTGTTTGATCACAGTACACCCTTAAAAAGTCATATCATATGAAAGGAATACCAATCCTTACTTTGTCTTTCCTGAACATTTGTAAGCAGCAAGCAGTGTATTAGTCCAGAAAACATCTTCACTTATGTATATCTTCCACAACTAAAGTCAACCTCTGTTTTTTTTTTCTTCTAACCTCTGCCCCAGTAACTGTACACTTTATTCACTTCCATTCCATTATTTAAAGCTTACAAACAACAATGAATGCTTTTATAAAGAAATACATATTCATTAAACGCCTTGACTACTGCAACTCCCTCCTCACCGGCCTACCCCAGTGCAAGCTCTCCCCGCTTCAGACCATCCTGAACTCAGCGGCTAGACTCATCCACCCCCCTCTGCCTCTCCCTCCACTGGCTCCCGATTGCCCAATGCATCAAATTTAAACTTCTAACCCTGACCTACAAAGCTGTTCACAACACTGCCCCTGACTACTTCACCAACCTGATCCCCAAGTACTGCCCTTCGCTCCTCACAGGACCTCCTTCTATCCTGCTCCCTGGTCTCCTCCTCCCATGCACGACTGCAAGACTTCTCCAGGTCCTCCCCCATCCTCTGGAACTCACTGCCCCAATTTATCAGACTGTCGCCTTCCCTCCTCACATTCAGGCGCTCCCTCAAAACCTATCTCTTCAGGGAAGCCTACCCCACCCTCACCTAACGGCCATTCTCCCTCATTCCTCCCTCCACTTCATTCCCCTCAGCCACTTCCTACTGTACCACTACCCCCTCCCTCCTAGATTGTAAGCTCGAAAGAGTAGGGCCCTCTTACCCCTCGTACGTTGTTTGTTATTGTTGTACTGTGCCATGTATTGTCCCCCCTATATTGTACAGCGCTGAGCAAACCCTTTGGCGCTATATAAACTCGATGTAATAATAATAATTAAACAAAAAATGATAAAAAATGATAAGAAGATAAAACAATTACTGAAAAATATACTGAAACCTGTTCACATCTGTTTCTGACTATGAAGTGATGCTCTGTAGCATTAGGAAAAAGATAGAGAGGAGGCTAAGCATTGTTGGCTGGGGGCACAGGTAGAAAGGTAGAAATTATTTAGGCTGGGTGGGGGTGGGGGGTGCAGAGGAGGAACTGATTATGAAAAGGGGATAAAGGATTTAGAATCAAAGCTGATTGTTGCTGATGGGTGGAGAGGCATAACAGCCACTGGGATAGAATGGAGGAGGTACAGAAAGCTGGCAATGGACTTGGAGGAAAGAGTGGGAGAATAGGCAGAGCAAGAGCTGTTCTTAAACCAAGAATAAAGGGGTCTGATGCATATCTGAATATGGCTGCAGAGAAGACTGGAAAATTATTAGAACCTTTAAGTACAGCAGCTGCTGATCATGACTAGGGAAGAAGAAACAAAATAATATTTGGAAGGGTGGGAGGTAGACTGAAATGCAATCCTAGTTAAAGTGGAGGGAGGGGACAAGTGGCTTTCTATTTATATTTACTGAATATATATTACTGAAACATATATTTTATAGGCAGGAGAGAAATAGGAGTGCAACAAGTGTCAAATGTTGCATGCTGTTTTGCTAAGTTTAATACTGCACATGTAAACCATCTTTGGGCCATATTTGCTTCTCCGACCTGGAAGATGAATCACAGTTGATGAACTTTATAAATGTGTGAAATGATGGTTCAGTTTTTTGCACCAGCTATGACACAACTCTGGCAAATAGTGGGGTTTAAGCTAGCCATACATTGCTCAGTTTTTGCATTCAGTCAGTCGCCTAAATGTAAAAACTAAGCTGATTTTTCCATCAAAACATTCGAGGTGGATGGGGAAATCCTCCCCCGCCATCAGAATACACTGATCAGCATTGCAGCCCATTGACTGCATGCACTGATTGAGCAGATATGTTCTGACAAGCCTGTTATTAAAAAAGGAGATTGATAGATCAACGTCTCATTCATGGGGACAGCCATACATGGATTGAAATTCGGCTGGTGCCTGCTAAACCAGCCAAACTTTGATCCATGTTTGGCCATGTATGGCCAGATTTAGTGTAATAGATCAGACATAGCAGATCAGATTTCCTGCAGATTTGGGAAATGTCACTTGACATATCATGTGTGTTTTCGAGTTCATCTCTACTATGGAAACCATACTATAGTTGAAGAAAGCACTCAGAGACTTTGTGCTATAGAATAGGATAGAATTCTAATACATTGTGCGCCTAGAATGCTGGAGAGTAAAGTGAGGCTTGCAGCAGCTGCTGTTGCAGATAGTGTAGGAATAGCTGCCAGAGACTGTTGTGTGGATCTAGGGTTAATAGCACCAAGAGAGGCTACAAAGGACATTGTGAGGGAGCTGTAATAGATGCTTGATGAACAATGTGTGTGTACTGGGTAAAAGTCAAATCTGAAAGAAGATACATACACCAGCAATAAAGGTTAAATTAAAATCTCTCCTTGTATAACACAAAATGACAGGATGATCTATTGCAAGTACTGGAAACTCAGAAGAATCTTTCCAGATATTGTAGTGAAGTTTACTTGCTATGCTCAACAGGTGCAGGCCCCTTTAACTTTTTTTTCGGAAAAATTTCTGGGTTTTTGGACACACCCAGGAAAGATACTATCTCCACTTTCATCCTTCAACAGCTCAAAGATACCATACCAGATGAGGCAGGGGGTAGGTTGGTATGTATCTACATCTAGATGAATGACCCCTCACTGTCAGAACCATTGTGTGGTCAGTGCACAGCATCTCCAAGAACAGCTTTTGGAGCTCCTAGAGTATTACCAGACTACCCTAGTTCTAGTAGGTTGGCCCTGTGCCTTGGATCCCTCCAGTTGTTTGCCTGTGTTACCAGAGCTACCCTGGACACCACTGAGAGCGATGCTGTTTCTTGAACATGATCACTGGTAGCTGTTTGTATTCTGAACTGTTTTAAGTAGGCATTCACATCTAGACTTACTGTAGTTATAGAGTTTTACAGAGACTATGCTGTGCAGCCACATGTTAACCTGATTGAGCCACAGTGATGTTGTGTTTGTGTTTGTGCAGCATTCAGTTTAAAAGTCTTTAAGCATGGTCTTTGCCAGGCTGAACATGTTTTGTATTGAAAAAAAAATGAAAATTATGGTTATTCCCTGTATAATCATACAGCCAATTACGTATTCTGTTAAAATAGTCCTTAAAAGGGGACATTAGAATCACAGTTTGATATAAGAGCCAGTTTTATTAATTAAACAGAGGAATTTTCTTACCTTGAGACACTCATCTTGTTTGGTGAGATCTTCACAGTCTTTTTTATTGAAACATGAAGAGTTCAGTAGAAGATCAACCTCAGCAACAGACTGCAGGAAGCGTGCAATCTCTGCCAGGTATGTAGAAGGCACATAAGAGGCATCCACTTTCATTCCCTCAATTAACGAACGAGTGCTTTCTTCATGAACAGTTTGCTAGTGTAGAAAAAAGTTTATTTTTATATATAAGTACACTTTTTAAGGTTTTCAGAAACTTTCTGCATATTAATAAAATACTTAAAATGCTGGCAGGTTAAATAAAAATCCATATGTTTTGGTACATCTAAAAAGTGGTGAGGAGATGAAAATTAATGTAACACACTAATAATAGCTTGACAGATTTGTGTCAGGGTCACTGAACACTGATTGACTGAATACTTCATTTACTCCTTGTATATTTCAAGGATTCAAGAGGCTAGATTTCTGTTCTGTTTCCAGAAAGTTTCTGTTGGAGACTCACTCAGCTGTTTTTTCATTAAGAGTTGCACTGGATTTCAATATTGGTAATAAAAAATTCAATTAGAAAAAAAAAAAGTGGATGGCTCTGGGAACACAGTTGCAGAGATGTTGCCTCCTAAATCCTTTAGCCTTGGTTCACACAACCATTATCTGTATGTTTCCCGCACAACATCGCAGTCGCACTGAGCAATGATAGTTGAATACTTCATTTGCTCCTTGTATGTTTCCCGGATCTGCTGTGGGTCTCAACTGAAAGTTAACAACACCCCAAAAGCAGGTCGCAAACTCAAACGAAAAGCATGTTTGCCTGCACTGGATCGCACAAGTATATAAACAACCATGTTATCCGGTTCCAGCATGGCTAAAAAAAGGTGCCTGCACTTTTTTTGGTGTGGATGTGGTGTGATTTGAGCTATTCAAAATTAATGTGCTCAAATCACACTGCACAGAATTGCATATGAACTGCACAGAAATGAGGAGCGGTTCCTGTGCAATTCACATGCAACCTCTAGTGTGAACCTAGGCATAAAGATACAAGGTGACATTGGGTACTGTCAGCATTTATATTTCAGTATCCATAGGCTGTGGACATACAGTATAATATAAATATTCTGTATACACAATTCTGTATACACAATATATATATATATATATGTATGTATATATATATATATATGATATGCAGTTATTATTGTTTGATTCTTATTTAATAACAGAGAATTGTGATTTCTAGGAAGCAATAGGAAAACATCTTTTTAATATACCAAACAACTAAAATCATACTGGCTGGCACTAATATCAGCACATCTTTTCATTACACTTATGAAAAAGGTTAATTAAAAAAAAAGTGGCACAATGCATGTTACATATTTGTTTCAAATATCACAGTAGTTTATTATATATACAGCCATTTAAAAGAGCAAAGGTCTAGAAAGAACAAATGTATCTGAGAAGAGAAAAAAAAATCATAATAAAACTGAACACAATATAATTTACTTTGTGAAGCTATGTATGCTATCTTAAAAATAAAATTTAGTTCAGTAGATACTGTTTTTTATGTTATTATTTCATTGTTATGTTTGAAAAAATCCTTAAAGTAGGTCTAAAGCCTAAACATTTTTTATCTTAACAAATTTACCTGCATGAAGGTAAAAAATGTTCCAGTACCTCTCATCTCCCCCTCACCCCCCCATACGTACCTGAACCTTCACTTGATCCAGCATTGTGTCCATCTGTAGTGACTCTCCCCCTCTCCTTTCCCTCACAGGTATTGCTGAGACCATTGGCTCCTGCAGGTAGCTTGGCTTGGTGTGCAACCATAGGAATCGGCTCCCTGTGGTGGCACACCCCAAGGTGGAGGAGCCTAGAGGACCATCGGGGGGAACCCCAGAAGAGGAAGTTCTTTTGCATGGAGCAGTTAAGTATAATATGTTTGTTATTTTTAAAAAAATTTGACTTTACAATCACTTTAATATCAAATTATTATGTGAAATGTATTTAATAAAGCACTGGGTTAAAGTGTATTTCCATGTTTGCAGCCAAATTGGGATAACACCTACTTTACAGTATATTTGTACATGTTTGCTATCAAATAGCACATAACTTAAAGAAAATATCACACACAGCACACGGTAAAACAGAACACAAAACAGAACACAATTAACCCTTTGATCACCCCGCATGTTAACCACTTCCTGCCCAGTGCCATTAGTACAGTGTCAGTGCTTTTTATTAGCACTGATCACTGTATTGGTGTCACTGAGGATGTCATTGACAGCAAGTCAGTTCCCTCCAATGTCAGAATGCCCGCTGCAGTCCTGCAGTTCTGCTATAAGTCGTGATTGCCGTCAATACTAGTAGAAAAAAAAAATACCAGTATATATACCGTCATTTTCAAACGCTATAACTTTCACATAAACCATTAATTTATACGTATGGGGACTTTTTTTATGCAAAGACACGTAGCAGAATACATTTTGGCCTAAATTTTCATGAAATTAGATTTTTTTACATTTTTACTGGACATGTTTAATAGCAACAAGTCAAAAATATAGTTTTCTTTTCAAAATTTCCAGTCTTGTTTTGTTTATAGCCCAAAGAATAAAAACACAGAGGCAATCAAATACCACCAAAAGAAAGCTCTATTTTTGGGGAAAAAAAACATAGATTTCATTAGGGTGCAGCGTTGCATGAACACGCAATTTTCAGTTAAAGTAACACAGCGCCATATCGCAAAAAATGGTCTGGTCAGGAAGGGGGGTAAATCCTCTGGAGGGCAGGTGGTTAAGCTCATTTAGTACTTTTTAGAAATATGAACATATTTAAATCCATAGCCTCCCAACATGTTAACTTTGAACAGAATCTTTGTGAGGGTACACACATTAATATTATCAATGAAAGTATCTAATTTATTTTGACATAAGCCTACTCAGAATATCTTAACTTGGACAATGTAATGATAGTTTTCATCTTGATATATTGTTAGGTCAATCCTGTCATAAAGCTAGGCACTCCAAATTGAGCATATGATGTAAAAATGCATATTTGTAGTTTAAATTTAGTGAAAATGGTATTTCAAATTGAGCAATAAACTGATCCAGATATATAAGCAACCAAGTTTGGATACAATTGTGATTTTTTGGTGTGTGAAGGGTATGCTTTTCCCTGTCCCCTTCTGCCTCTCAAGTCTCCCTATTGGTCAACCATACTTGGAGGGAGGATACAAACTTCTTACAAGATGGTACAGAATGCCAGAGACACTACATTGCATTGATATGCACTACATTGCATGTTCCCCAAGTCCTGAACACTTGGCAGTGCCTGAATTCTGAGGGGTGCTTACTCCATATTTTCTGGGAGTGTCCCAAGCTAAGGGTTTTCTTGACTATGGTGGAGCAGACTATAAAAACATTAACAGGAGTATTCCTTGGAAGAAACCCTTCAGCTTTCCTGTTACATGATACACCACTTTCAAACAAACAAATCAAAAATTAATTATTGAAACACCTCTTCAATGCAGCAAAAGCCTGCATTCCAGCATTGTGGAAAAGTATGAATGAGAATCAGTGAAATCCAAGAGATGAAAAACCTGACCATGATGATCAGGAAAAATTTGGACTCCGTATTTCTTTTATAGAGACCAAACTAAGCTAGCCTCTCAACCATAGGTTGTGGTGAGATATTGTGACACTCCTTTCGATTCCTGGAGTTAAAAGGTTCCTCAGGGTTCCAGGTCAGGGGGATGGGTGGGTTTCTTTCTTCCCCTACCCACCCCTTTTCTCTTTCTACTGCTCCCCCTTTTTTTTCCTTCTTATCTCTCTCACTATCCCTCTTGTCACCTATTCTCCCCTACTTTTCATCTTCTCTACTGAGGTTTAGTGTTGGCTTATCCTTATATCGAATTACAAAACTAAAAAGTATATGAGGAAACGGTGTATTTCAGGGATGTGTACAAGCAGTTCTGATGGCCACATATAACAAATACAGGTTACACCAGAACCAACGCTTTCGATTTATTTGTATTGGTTGTATGTTTTGGTGTATGATATCTGTTGCATTTCATACTGATGTAATTGTGTTTTAAAGACATGTTATACCGCTTCTTCAAAATTAAGAATTAAAAAAAAAGTCTGTCCATCCCTTCAAAGAAAGCCTGAATCCCTTCCAAGTATTTAATGTTGTCTGCATCCCTACTGTTGGATTTATCTTCTATAATTGTCCTGGTGACCACTGTCATTAGGAGTAAAAGTGAGAAAAAGGAGTGTGTCTCAAGACAGGAGGTAAAAGAAAAATTTCCTCAATAGGACATAGCAGCAAAAAAAAAACCTTGACTGGGGTTTTACCTATACAATACAGTATTCAAAACTGAACAAAACATTTCTGGCTTTACATATATTTTAAACTAAATTGTCTATCTTGTGGAAGACATGGTCACACACCAGTGACATCACTTACACCCTAGTGTACAATTTAGTTTGCAAATCCTATTGCATCAACTGTCAAAATTCTTAATACACAAATAAATCACTTTATGATATTTTAAAAAATTATTTAATTAAGAGTCTATTTCTATTTTATTTCTAAATATAGCTTAATAATAAACCATACAGTGTTGTCCAAGACTGGCCCTGACCATAACTTATCTGCCAAGCAAGTCATTATGGTGGCCCCCTGTGTAGCTACACGGTACGTGGTATCAACCCCACTCTCAGCTGGAACAAATCTGTTTATTATAGAAAGTGCCAATTGCTGTGACTTCTTTGGATGAACCTGAGCAGCTAGAAGCAACAATTTAAAAGACAGCTACTTAAATTTACCTGCATAGACAGTGCTTTGTATTGTTCAGACTGCATGTTGAGTGTGTGTTTCTGTCAGTTCTACACAGGCAATCAGAGCTGGCTCAGTGTTACATCTCATAGTAAGATCCCTAAAGCAAGAGTGCCCTTTTTACATGTAGGTGCATTTTACACTGTTAGCCTCTTGCCACACCACCACAGTATATTTACTGCAGTGGGGCAGCAGGGGCAGGCTCAGTTACACACACACACACACACACACACACACACACACACACACACATATATATGTACAGTGAAGGAAATACGTATTTGATCCCCTGCTCATTTTGAATGTTTGCCCACTCACAAAAAAGTGAACAG